TGAGGGTGGGTCCTACCTGGTATGTTGACCAAGATGAAGCTGCAGAGGACCACAATAATCCACAGAGACTACCTCCACTACTACTAAAAGTACAGACACTTGAAGAAGTGCTATAAAATCATGTCCATGTGCCAGTCCCCCTATTTCAGGGATATCCAGATGGGTGATATGGTTGGTGAGTGCTGTCCCTGAGCAACACTGTGCTTTGCTATGCTCAAGGTCACCAAGGCCACCAGAACCAAAAAGTGGCTCCAGAAGTTCTGAGACCTGCCCACTTCCTCAAACAAACTTGTTGTTTTCCCATTCAAAAACAACAGCATTGAGTTTTTGAATGTACCCTGTTGGGGCAAGAATGACTTAGAAATAAAGGACATTTCAAAAGTTTCAGCCAGCAAAAAATAGAGAGAAAGGAAGGGAGGAAAGGAGGAAGGAAGGAGGGAAGGGAGGGAGGGAGGAAGGAGAAAGTAAGAGAAGGAAGGAAGGAAGGAAGGAAGGAAGGAAGGAAGGAAGGAAGGAAGAAGAAAAAAAGCAAGACAAGACAGGGAAGGGAAGAGGAGGGGAGGGTCCTTTTTCATGGTAAATTGCCCATTTTCATATGCTAGGATCAAACTTTTATTGACCTCTGCTCCTTAAATCACATCTCAGCTCTCATAAAATGTTAATCTTTTTCTGAAACCTTTAAAAAAAGTTTTTGAAAATATTGTCAAAAACTCCTTCCTAGAAACTATATTCTAATATGAGAATTTAAGTCACTTTTTTAGTGATTTGCTTTTTGCTGTGAAAAACTTGATTCATTATTTAAATAAATGTTTCTGTGTTTTCATTGTCTCTTAAGAGTTGATGGTGTTAGGTAGCATGAAATCTTCAATATGATGTATTTTTCACAGCTGCAAGCCTATTTTAAGAGATATATTTAAATGATCACCACAGCCAAACCAACAAATAAGCAAGGTAGACCAATTAATCAAGACTTGACTCTGGAATCTGTCATTGTTGGAATTATTCACTTCTTATTAGTATAAATTATTTTATGTAGAGAGTTTAATTGGCACTTCAGTTTCCTCCTTAGGATTTTTTCCTACTGGTAGATATACATAGATCCTATTTGTTTTGACAGTGGTACAAACTTTAAACTATTTAATATCTAAAAAATTTCCATTGTTATTTTTTAAACTTTTTAAAAATAAAACTGAAAATACTTTCCATTCTTATATTTTCCTTAAACTGTAAGGGGAAATACTACTTAAAGCAGAAAATACATGATGGCAGGTATTTTTATTTCTGTTTACCTTTTTTTCTTTTGCTACTGGTCAAATAGACATATTTATGCTATCTTAAATATTGTTGATGCTTAAACTTCTTCCCCCTTGGCTTTCTGGGTAGGGCCGATGGGAGAGTTTAGTTTGATATTTAAGGGTATAAACTCTGGAATAACTGCCTGGGATTGACTTCCACTATTTAGTTGTGGGACTTGGGGCAAGTGCCAGCTAATGTAAATCCTTGTTTATTTGTAAAATGCAGATAATAGTAATACCTGCTTTATGAGTTGTTGGATAGAGTAAATGAGATATTTAAATTAAAACATTTAGCACGGTAATGGGTACATATGAAGTGCCAGAACTAGAGCATGGAAAAACACTTCCAGAATAGTAGAGTAAAAACATGTAAAAATCTCCACAAAAGCACAAAAACACTAGCAGAATTTGTTAAAGTGAAATGTTTTAGCTCTGGCTGGGTTGGTCAGTTGGTTACAGCGTTGTCCCAGTACACCAAGGTTGCAGGTTTCGTCCCTGGTAGGGCACATGCAGGAATCAACGAATGAATGCATAAATAAGTGGAACAACAACTTGATCTCTCCCTCCCTCCCTCCCTCCCTCCCTCCCTCCCTCCCTCTCTCTCTCTCTCTCTCTCTCAAAACAAAAAAAAAAAAAATAGAACTCTCATCATTAATGAAAGACTTGTAAGAATTCAAACAGCATTTATTCAAGAGAAATGGCTGGATCTCTCCTTAGGAATAGTGAGCTTCATAGATATTTAACTTGTTCTATTTCCATCCCCTTCTCCACAGTAGTCTTAAAACCAACATCTAACAACTATGGTAACTGAAAACCAAAGGGCTAGCAGCCACTGGAAGAAACTTAGTGGCTTTGGAGCTTCTCAAAAGCCCCATGCCTAGAGAATTGTCACTGTTTGACCTGCAAAGTTCCATTCCCAGGGCTTGTCTTTATTTGACCTGACTTGGAGCTTGCTGTGTAGAAAGAGTTCTATCCCTAGCACCTTTGTTGAAAACAATCTGTGGTAATTGTTGAACATTGCAGCTGCCTGCGGTGGTAATACCAGCTGGAGCTAACAAGAGGTTGACCAAGAAACTTAATAGGAAAAATGGTCCCCTGGCTGGCGTAGCTCAGTGGATTGAGCGCGGGCTGGGAACCAAAGTGTCCCAGGTTTGATTCCCAGCCAGGGTACATTCCTGGGTTGCAGGCCATAACCCCCAGCAACCGCACATTGATGTTTCTCTCTCTCTCTCTCTCTCTCTCCCCCTTCCTTCCCTCCCTAAAAAAAGAAAAATGGGGCAATGAGATGTTTATAGGGGTCTTTGAAAAGCACCAACATATTCCTGGAAATCTAGAAACCCACAAACACAGTAGGGATACGCATATGTCCAGGAAAAAAAATGTGTAAGTCCCTAACCTTTTAACTCTGGCTGACCTTGATAGTTTTTTTTTTTTTCTTTTAAGAACTTGCTTTCACCCTGGCTGGCATAGCTCAGTGGATTGAGCTCAGGCTGTGAACCAAAGCAACGCAGGTTCGATTCCCAGTCAGGGAACATACCTGGGTTGCAGGCCAGGTCCCCAGTGGGGGCCATGTGAGAGGCAAACACACAATGATTCTCTCTTTCTCCCTCCCTCCCTTCCCCTCTCTAAAAATAAATAAATAAAATCTTTAAAATAATTTGTTTTCAATTACAGTTGATGTACAGTATTAGCTGTAGGTGTACAACATAGTGATTCGACATTTAAATAACTTACGAAGTGATCACCTCAATAAATCTAGTACCCATCTGACACCATACATAGTTATTACATTAACTATATTCCCTATGCTGTACTTTACATTCCTATGACTATTCTCTACCTACAAATTTGTACTTCTAAAACCCTTTACCCTTTTCCCCCATCTCCCTAACCCCCACCCCTATCTGGCAACCATCAAAATGTTCTCTGTATCTATGGGTCTGTTTCTGTTCTGCTTGATCATTTACTGTATTTTTCAGACTGTAAGATGCACCCCACCCCTGCAAATTTGGGAGGGAAAGTGGGGGGTGTCTTATAGTCTGAATGTAGCTTACCTGGCTCGCTGTTGGGGGGGCAGCGGTGGAGCCATGTCACAGGTTATTAAATATTTTACCCATTTTTGCTTCAAATTTATTTTTCCTATTTTCCTCCTCTAAAACCTAGGTGCATCTTATGGTCCGGTGCATCTTAAAATAGTCCTAAAAATACGGTATTTTGTTTTTTAGATTCAATTGTTGACAGATATGCACTTATTGGCATTTTATTGTTCAAAATCTTAAAGAAGACCCTTTAACATTTTATATAATACTGGTTTGGTGGTGATGAACTCCTTTAGCCATTTCTTATCTGGAAAGCTCTGTCTTTCAATTCTAAATGAATGCTTTCCTGGTTAGAATAATCTTGGTTGTAGGTCCTTGTATTTCATCACTTTGAATATTTCTTGCCACTCCCTTCTGGCTGCAAAGTTTCTGTTGAGAAATCAGCTGACAGTCTTACGGGAACTCCTTTGTAGGTAAAAGAGATTCTCTCTTTGTCTTTATCCTTTTGCATTTTACTTGGTGTGAGCCCCTTTGAGTTCATCTAGTTTGGGATTGTGTTTCCTGGACTTGTATGTTATTTCCTTTACCAGGTTAGGAAAGTTTTTCATCATTATTTTTTCAAATAGGTTTTAAAAAAATATATTTTATTGATTATGAGATTTATATCTCCCTCTCTCTCTCTAAAATCAGTGGAAACATGTCCCTGGGTGAAGATTAAAAAAATAAATAAAACTTATGAATTGTTTATATCTGGAATTTTCCATTTAATATCTTTGAACCACAGTTCACTGCAGGTAACAAACCGCGGAAAGTGAAACCGTGGATAAGGAGAGACTCCTGTCCTAAAAACGCTGGGTTGTACACATAAAAGGGTGAATTTTATGGTATGTTAATTATATCTCAATAAAATTGTTATTAAAAAGTTAAAAACCCTACTGTGTGCCATTTAAGTGTATCATACAGTATTGAAAAATAAATTATTCCAAATAGTTCTTGCTTAGCTGGCTACTCTATAGTGTTTGCAGTTGTTTTTTAATGAACTGTCAGAAGACTGGAACTGCATTTGTAGAGTTGTTATACTAGCCAGAGAGAGGTACATGACTATTTTTCAGTTATACAAAGGTGAGTCAAGTAATATATAATAAAATTATAATAAATTATAATTTTACATATCGATAAATTATAGTGTTTATAATTAATAAATTATAATAAAATTATAATTGTATTATAATACATATAATATCCATTCAAATTAGCCAAATTAAGATTTTTCCAGTGTTTTTATAGAAAGTTTTACTTCATTTACAATTGTGATTTAAAATACTCTTAAGCATTTATTGGATAGATGATAAAATTTTTTTAATGCTTCATCTTCAATTATTTCTGTTGGTGAACTATAAGATTAAACTGCTTTTCTGTGCACCCTGTGGATTTAAGTAGTTGGATTTAAAATGAATTAAGCTTGTTACAAAGTTTTACTCTTTTTTACTACTAAATTTTGAAATAAAATGAATTCAGCTCTTATTATAAAATCTTATTGTACGATTTTTGTGGTTTAATCAAATTGAATATATTTTGATGCTAGTGAAATCCTAGTTTGTATCTTCTATAGTTTTCTTTCTTATATCTTTATAGTCCATTTCGTCTAACCCACTATAACGTTCAGCTTGCAGAACACAGAGACGTACAGCATACTTACAGTCTGGAGTCTCTCTGCCACTGCCCTTTCTACGAAGAAGCCATGCATTTAGTTGAGGAAGGAAAAATTTACTCAAGAGTGCTTAGGTACCATTTCAGTTTTGCTTATGTTTATGAAAAATGTTCAGGTACTGTTGCCATGTTTGTATAATACTTATTGAAGGTGTTGATGAGAACAGGGGAAAACATGTTTTTAGGCTCAAAAAAGATTTTTAATATGTTTTGTCAGTATTGAAATTTATTAATGTCCTGAGGTTAAGCCTTGTTTGAGTCCAAATTTGTAGAAGGCTTGCTCTTGAATGCAGTGTTAACAGTTTTCTCCCCTGTTCATTACATAGAACTGAAATGCTGGAGTGCCTAGGAGACAGTGATTTTCTTGCCAAACTTCACTGTATTCGACAGGCTTTTCAGGTATTTTTTTTTTTAACATTAAGTGACTTTACCCAGCCACTCATCCCCACCCTCATTCTGTAGAATCCAGCTGCATATAAACAGGACAGCTGTTTGCTCTTTGTTATTCTTATTACCAATGGCAAAAATACAGTTTACCAAGTTTATTTTTTCTGTCTCCTGTTTCTCTCTGTTGGCTTCAGTTGTCATTTTCCTCCCCCATGGCTTCCAGGTCCACCACTTTGTCAAAGCAAGATATTTTGATGCTGGAGATGTGTACAAATAGCTGCTTAAAATAAAAATTTTCCTTTTTTATTATCAATTAGTATGTGTTCTAGATTTTTTAATTTGCATCATTTGTAAAATCATTGATTTTCTAAATGCAACAAGGTCATCAGGCAACAAAATTATCTTTATTTTCTTATGTTTTGGGGCTGTGTACCATTTAACTTGGTCTTTCTAATATTAAATTGAACAGAATTTAAATTCAGATATATCTCCCTTTAATCTTTTTTGATTATAGGTTTCAAGAGCACATTTCATTGTAATAAATTAGAACTTTCTCTGTGGTCTGCCTGTTGAAATAAGGCTAAATACAGTGCATTGGCTGCATTAGGGTTATTTGTGCATAGATGTGCTATAAAGTTAAATGCCCATTCAAATTAACTTCAGGTCTCTTTCTTCTTTGCTTGGGGATGGGTATTTCTTTCAGGTCATTCTTTCAGAAAGAGCCAACAGGATATTCCTTGCTGACAGTGGAAGGAAAATTTTATCAGCATTAATTGTGAAAGCACGAAAGGTAACTTGTTTTGTTGGGAAGTTTTTTTATTGTTGTTTCCATTAAACTGAAGAATTTTTAATAGAAGAAACGGTTTTTGTAGATAGCTGCAAAAGTTCACGTATTGAAAATCAATAATCTAAAGAGCATTGACTTCTGCTTGGGCTGAATTACTTCTATGTATAAAGCCCACTCTGTTTTGATCCCGTTGTTTCTCATAAATTATTCCCAATTTGCCATAAAGTCTGTGAGTATCATGGTAAGCACCATCATTACATCCGCTAACAGTCACCACTGTTATTACTTCTAACACCTCTTCTCTTACCTCCCTTAATTCTGTTCAGTGACAAAGTTCCAGGAAATAGGATAGATCTCAGAAATCTGGAAATACAAATTGAGCTGCCTCTTACTCTTATTCATCTTCATGAGATTGAATGAGGCAGAAGCAATGAAAAAGAACTTCATTAAGACTATGAGGAACCACTTTTCTGTATTGCAAGGTGTGTTTGGATGATGAGGAAAACCAAACTAGAACAGGCTTTCCTTGAGTCATTTCAACACCTGGTTTTCAGACCCAATCTATTTTAACCTCAATCCCATTATTTGTATAATAGAATTATATTTATGGTACCCTATTTCAGAGGGTTTTAATGATGATTAAATAAATAAATGGGAAAGCAAATTTGTTTACCAAGTACAAAGTAAATGAAAAGTGATATTAACTACTTGCCATTCTCAGTGTTAATTTTATGTTGCTTTCCTGGCCTTCCTATGGCATATAAACCCAGTGATTTGAACTAGAGTTCTTCCTAAAGAAATAGAACTGTATCAAAAGCATCAGAAGGTATCTTCTGCGACCAAGTTTTCATCTTAAGGACTGACCTAAATAAGCATATATATCTGGGTAGTAGGCACTTATGACATTTTACAAATAGTCTTAGCGTCTTCAAAATGTTGGAACAACAAACTCTTAAACTGAGTGAATATGGCATACCTTGAAAATGTATTTTGATTCAGTAACCTAACAGAATGAAGACCTAACAAATTTGCTTGAAAAATAGCTCATTTACTTTGTAGGTTTAAGCCTTGTTATGAAGTTGAGTCTACATAGCAACAAGAAAAATAGAGTACCTAGGAATAAACTTAACGAAGCAGGTAAAAGATCTACACCAAAAACTATGGAACACTGAAGAAAGAAATTAAGACACAAATAAATGGAGGCATATATCGTGTTCATAGACTGGAAGAATTAACATCATTAAAATGTCCATACTACTCAAAGCAACCTATGGATTCAGTGCAGTCCCTTTGAAAATACCAATGGTGTATTTTACACACCTAGAACAAATATTTAAACTATTTATATGGACTCCAAAATGACCCCAAATAGCCTCAGCAGTCTTGAGAAAGAAGAGCAAAGTAGGAGAGATCACAATACCTGATATCAAATTATAGTACAAGGTCACTGTAATCAATACAGTCTGGTACTAGCATAAGAACAGACATATAGATCAGTGGAACAGAATAGAGAATCCAGAAATAAACCCATATCTCTATGGTCAGTTAATATTTGACAAAGGTAGCAGGAACATACAAAGGAGTAAAAATGGCCTCTTCAATAAATGGTGTTGGGAAAATTGGACTGGTACATGCAAAAAAATGAAACTAGGCCACACACTTATACCATACACCGGAATAAACTCAAATGAATAAAAGATTTAATTATAAGGTGTGTCACCATAAAAGTCCTAGAGGAAAACACAGGCAGTAAAATTTCAGATATCCCACGTAGCAATATTTTTGCCAATATATCTCCTAGAGCAAGGGAAAAAAAGGAAATAATAAACAAATGGGACTACATCAAGTTAAAAAGCTCCTGCACAGCTAAAGAAACCATCATCAAAATGAAAAGACAACCAATTGTATGGGAGGAAATATTTCCCAATGACACTTTGGATAAGAGTTTGATCTCCAAAAAATGTAAAGAACTCATATGACTCTACACCAAGAAATTAAACAATCCAATTAAAAAATGGGCAAAGAACCTAAATAGACACTTCTCCAAGGATGTACAGATCATCCATAGACACATGAAAGGATGCTCAATGTCATCAGACATCAGAGAGATGCAAATTAAAACCACAATGAAATATCACCTCATACCTGTCAGAATGGTCAGGATCATTAATAAATCAACAAACAAGTGTTGGAGAGGATGTGGAGAAAAGGGAACCCTAGTGCACTGTTGGTGGGAATGCAGACTGGTGCAGCCATGGTGGAAAACAGTATGGAATTTCCTCAAAAAACTAAAAATGGAACTGTCTTTTGACTCAGTGATTCTACTATTGGGACTATACCCTAAGAATCCTGAAACACCTATTCAAAAGCACTTAAGCACCCCTATGTTTATAGCAGCACTATTTACAATAACCAAGTGCTGGAAACAGATTAAGTGCCCATCAGTAAGTGAGTAGATCAAAAAACTGTGGAACATTTACACAATGGAGTACTATGCAGCAAAAAGAAAGAAGGAACTCCTACCTTTTGTGACATCATGGATGGAACTGGCGAATCTTATGCCTAACGAAATACACTGGTCAGTGAAAAATAAATATCATGTTATTTCACTCATAAGAGGAACCTAATGAAAAAATAAACTAATGAGCAAAATAGAACCAGAGACATGTAAACAAAGAACAGACTGTCAGTGGCCACGGGAGAGGGGTGAGGGGGATTAGGGAGGAAAGAAGAGGCAGGGCCTGGTTAAAGAACAAGTATAAATGACCCATGGACATGGACAACAGGCTGGGGATTGACTGTGGGAGTGGAGGAGGGTTAGGGGAGCAGGGGAAAATTGGGACAGCTGTAATAGAACAACAATAAAATATTTAATTTTTATAAAAAGTTGAGTTTAGAATTAAAGCATCCTTTCTTCTGCAGAATCCAAAGAAGTTTGAAGATGTTTTTGATGAAATGATCTATTTTTTAGAGCAGACTGACCACTGGGATAGTACTGAAATGGAACTTGCTGCTAGAGGAGTAAGTTCAAATATTTTTATGTTTATTCCCCTTAGTGATTTATACATAATGTTTACATAGTTTGAGGCCACAGTTTCTTTACAGTAAATCCAAATGTGTGGTGGTGTTTATGACAGAGTCGTAAACAATAGCAACCACAGGCTTTGTACATTGGGGCAACAGTTGAAAATCATTGTTTATTAAAAAGTCTTTTTTTAAAAAATTAATTTATTAAAAAGTCTTTATCTTCTCCCTCTCCCTTCTGAAAGTCAAGAGCAGACCCGAGCAGGCCCGAGCAGGGTAGAAATGGTGGCCTGTGCATACATGCTTTCAGAAGGGCAGCTCACTGGGAGCAGGGCATTGACTACATGTACAGGGTTAAACAAACAAATCTATGGAGAATAATTGGAGCCAGGTGTCTGACTGCTGGAGAGCAGAGGTATAAAAAGCTAGGGTTGGATTTGGAGGTGTCAGTATAAATTCAGAGTTTATGATAGATACAGAAATAAATATAAAGTCTTGCATATACATACACATACATGTACTTCCCAGCTCTGTTCACGGAGAGGGTCTGGGAGCAGCAGCACCTCAAAGAAGTTACTCCTCCAGGGCACACACATCTTGGCTTCTAAGTGCCAGTCCACACTAAAATGAACTAGAACTCCTTGGGGAAATGGCTGATTTCAGCCTTGGGATAGGAGAAGTATGTGGTGAGCCTGGAACATTTTGTGGTCATGGAAGCTTAAAGACTGAGTTTGCAAGGGACTACAAGGCTTTCTAGGCAGGGAAAACAGCAGGTGCAGAGACACGGAGGCATAATCTTTCTTTTTCCAGTGTACCCCACTTGGTGACGGCATCGGCTCCCATTCAGTTGTGCAGGCTAGAAACCTGGGTCTTTTCCTTTATACCTCCCTGGCCCTCACCTACTTTATTGTACTCTTCTCTTAAGTTTTGTCATTTTAACTTCTAAATATCTTTCCATTTCTTCAACTTTTCTCTATTTCTGCCAGCCCCACTGTTGTCAGAATAACTGTTGTCTTCTGTGGACTACCTCAGCTCCTTTGTGTTCCCTGATTCCCTGCCTACTCCTCCCCTCCCTGCATTCACTCTTTTTCCTTTGCATTCCACTCTCCACATTGCTGCCCAAATCGTCTTTAAAAATACATATCTGATCATCCATCTCCTCTCCACCGCTACACCCCTAAAATACTGTGAAGATAATATCCAGAATCATTAACATGGGCCATAAACTCTGTTGAAGAGCTGTGCCTTCAACATAGTCTCACCTCTGCGTTCTCTGCTGTCATGAACTACAGCACACTTGCTGCAACTTTCTTTGATGCACCACTCTGTCCCTTATTACCTTAAAGTCCTAACACGGTATTTCCAGTACCTGGATGCCTCACTCCCTGAAGAAAGTCTAGATGTCACCAGACTGTGACATCCAGTCTAGTTTAGAAGCCCACTGCAGACTCTCAGATTACCATGTGCTTTTTCCTGTACTGTGCTTATTACAGTTTGTAATTGTGTATTTGTGGGATTATTTGTTGCTGTCTGTTTTCCCCATGCAACTTGAAGCATCTAGTTTTGCTTACTGTAGAAGCCTAAGCACCTGGTACAGCAAATAGTACAATAAAATATTCATGAATGAACAAAAAAGCAAGAGGTTCATGATGTGGTGGGGAAGACAGACAGCTGCACCAATAACTCAGTGATAAAACAGAATGAGCTTTGTGGATAATAGAAGCACGAACAGAGGACTCCTGGAATAGAGGGAAGGGAGAGCTTCATTTCACCTTACGGGATGGAGGAAGGAACAGCTATCATGGGAATTGTAATTTCTGGGCTTGAGTTGTTTTCATGTTTGTCTCTCCTCTTCCTCTTCTTTTTGTCAGAGATATAATCTGATTAAACTAAAAACACCCAGCTGTTACAAAGTATGAAGCCCTGGCTCAGACTTTATTTTAGCTCTATGTAATAACAATTTCTGTTTTAACTCATAATTTAATGCAGGTGAATAATCTAAATTTTTATGATGTTGTTCTGGATTTTATATTAATGGATTCCTTTGAGGATTTAGAAAACCCACCCACATCCATACAGAATGTAGTAAATAATCGCTGGCTAAACTCCTCCTTCAAAGAAACCGTAAGTGGTGGTTTATTTTTCTCAACCATATAAATGTAATGAAAAATGGCCAGAAATGGGAATATTAGTAAGATATATGTGTACATTGCCTATAGTATGACTAGTGTGGACACTGAGGATCACATGTGTATAATATATAATGTCTTCTGGTGAAATTTCCTTTTTGGCTCTTCTATCAGTCCTTGTCTTGACCTGAAATATTCAGTATTTCTTTAGATCTAGAAACAAAACAACAGAATAAAAGATCTAGAAGCAAAACAAAATACCTTAGACTTCAGAGTAGTTCAGGCCTCACAAAAAATTGTTTGTAACTGAAATGGCTCTATGTCTGAACTGAAATATAGCAGTTGCAGTCAAAAGACAATATATATTTTTAGAGAAAAATATGGGGATTCATGTTCTGGAATACCATAAAAAATTAGAGGAGAACAAAATGAGCACGTGCCCCTCCCCCACCCAAAACAGGTTTAAATGGTATTCTGCACTTTCAATGTTTTCAGTTTCTGTTGGTTTTCGTACTCAATTCTCTAGTCAACATTTTTTTGGGGGGTGGGCTTTAATGTGTACCTGGAAATAGGTGGGATAGATATTCATGATGAAGTTTGACTGCTTAAAATGAAAATGTTCCAATGGGTTGTTTCACAATTATTTTTGTACATTTCTAGTATTAAATTTTACAACAGTTTTAATAAATCCACTTTTCCTTCAAAGTATGTTGTCACCCCAAAAGGTACATGTTATCTCCATTTCCATTACAAATTTGGTAAATTGACCTTGATTAAAGTTGGGTCATGCCAGAGTAGGGTCAGATTTCTTCAGGATCCACTTGGGTACATTGTCCCTATCATTATGGCTATATTTTATTACTTCTTTATTTGGATGAAACTTAGCTTTACCCACAATTATTCCCAGCAGTACTATTCTTGGTGGGGGGAGTGCTTAGTCTTCATTGTTATGCATAAAACCTTTATTGTGTATGTGCATCTATATATATAGATTTTTACTCCTTTCCCATAGGAACAGAATTTAAAAACTCTGAGAGTTGAATTCTAATTGCAAGTTCTTTGGTATCAGAGTTCAGCTTTTTCTTTAGAGACTTTATACTTAATTTTAAAATTTATAAAAACAAAATACGTTATCATTAATATTTGCAAACAGTAGAAGGAACCTGGGCTTATTCTTATTAGTAGATAATGTTTTAAACATTTAGACCCGTCAACTTTGAATTTCTAATAAAAATCACTCTTTTCTAAATGGAAAATTTATATAGTTATAAATTGAAGTCTTGCTTTTTCTCCTCTGTGTATATTTAGGCTGTGGCTTCAAGTTGTTGGTCAGTGCTGAAACAGAAAAGGCAACAGATGAAGGTAAAGTTCTGTGGACTTCTTCGTTAAGTAATTTGAGGTTCCCGTGAAAGAAACATCTGAGTCAGTTCTCAAGCGGGAATGGCAGGTCATACAGATTGTCCCTTAAGCTAGAGGAGTGACTTACTGGTACATGATTGGATTCTCCTTTTTTGAATTCTCTCTTTTTTCTTTAACATTCTGTAGAGTTTAGTATAGCAAGTCTTGAGGCATGTGTGGGATTTCCACTAAGTGGGAAAGGGTTTAGGTTTGGAAACAGCCCTAAGAGGGTTTTGATTTTTGTTTTTTCACTTAATGATGTTTTAAGATTTTAGACAGTTGTTTAATATAGTGGTTTGCACTTTGTGTAATCCAAATGAGAAATAATGATTTGATCCTTTGGTTCACAGGCCCATGGTCAATCCACTGAGCTACACCAGCTGGGGCTGGTTTGATTCTAATAGCTGTTTTATTTAAGTGAGAGGCTCTACAAAAAGAAGTCTCAAAATTTATATCCTGCCTCCATGTTGTACATCCTTCAGCCCATCTCACCCACGACTTACTGCTCTCACCTTTCATTCCCATAGTCAATGGCATGGATTCTGGAGTGAGACTGCCTGGTTTCAAATGCCACTTACTAGCCATGACCACTAGTAAGTTGCTTAACCTCTTCACCAGAATTATTCCTTGGTGAAGCACGTCTCTTCTGCTTCAGCCCATGCTAACTCTTACCTGTCTGAACTCCTGATACAGTCAGAATCTGTATAAGGTTTAGAATTTTAATTTATGGAGAACAACTCTTATACTAGAGTAATAACTTCAGTACATCCCTGATAACTTTTTGGCCTTCACTGACTAGCTGTGGGTGATTTAGGACTGGTTATTTAATCCCTCTGAAGTATCACTTCTTACATATTAGAATGTTGACATAACCTACTTTTTCAGGAATGTTTTATTAAATTAAATAAACTCTAGCACATTATCTGGAATATCATGAGTATTCCTTACATGGCAATTGCTGCTGTAATATATTTCTTAAATTGAGGTTTAGGACATATCTTAGCACCTGTAAAATAGAAAAATTTTTTCCCTCCAAGAGAAAAAATCTTAAGGCATAGTTATCTTCAATAGATGCTGTATGACAGATTCCACAGGATCTTATTTAACCAGGGACATTCAAAAAGTTACTGATAAACTAGAGAGTTTTCTAAAGCACAACTGTATGTATTACTATTTCACAAGAAGAGGCAATTACACAAGTAAATGCTCACTAATATCTCATTTCTTAACTAAAAGGATTCTGGTGAGCACAGTTTTGTATTTAATCATTTAAAATTTGTTCCAGTCTTTTTCAGATAATGTAATTAAGTGATGGAGTAGAATTTTTTAATAGCTGAAACCATGGCAGTCTCACTAATCCTAAAAATTTTGCTGCTAAGGAATGCTGTGCCATTCTCGTTTTTTGCTTGGTTATAACACTGATATGATTGCTTTTTTATACAAAGTGTACTTATGAAGTGAAAATGCCTTTAAGAAATAATGTTTCTCAGCATATTTGACACTATTGGCTAGGTTATGAAATTTCAGAAAACATTCTGTGACTAAAGCCACTTGTAAGTTTATTAACTTTCTTACTAGGCTGGCGCATCATTGACCCTGGTCTTCCCTCGTAAGGAGCTGGTCACATGATGGGCAGCAATTTAAGTTCCTAAAGAGAAAGCACATTCAAAAAGGTAAAAATAACTCGATTCTCCTTTACCTCCCAACAGATCCCAGATGGATTTTTTGCCCATTTTTATGCCATCTGTGAGCATATCAGCCCTGTCCTGGCCTGGGGCTTTTTGGGTCCTAGGAATTCTCTCTATGATTTATGTTGCTTCTTTAAGGTATGTCCAGTAATTGAATCATCTCTTTTTTCTAAATCGAAGAGCCAGTAAGGTATTATTCTGTTTTGTTTTGTGTTTTTAGAAGAAAGAATTGTCTTTAAAAGTAAAGTTAGAAAAGTCACCTAAATTCAGTGTTTGCATGCCCATGGATCAGTATTATGTAGACATGGTGCTTTACCCTGGAATAGATGCAAGTCCATCACCTTCTCAGTTCCCTCTGTGACGGATGCATGTTCTTGGACGAGGTTATGATGTTCTAGTCAAATTGCTGTGGACAGTTTGTTCTTCATGCCTGGATGCTTTTGAAATTTGTAAAATAAATATTTCCCTTTATTGCCCTTGTGGCAATTTAGAAAGAAGTTCTGGTTCAAGGCAATATGGATGATAAAATCCCAGTTGTAAGAAATAACATGAGAGTCTGAAGTTGTATCCCAATGTCAGCAGTTTAGGTTTGCCAAAACACATGTTATATAGGTCATTGCAGCCTTCTGCTTGGCGTAGTGCCAAGAAAAGCCTCACTCTTTTCCTTCCTCACTCAAAAGCCTTGAGTTCAGGCAGAGTTTTAAGGAGTAAATAAAAAAGTAAATAGAAGCAAGTATGAATTTGAAAGTTTTTATGTTTGAAAGTTTGGAAGTTTCACTATTCCTCTCATTAAAAAAATAAATTTTTTAAGGTAGCACTTACATACATGTTTATTTTACTATCATTTGAAACTCATTATTTTTGACTAGTTTATTCAACCTCCCAAATAAAAGTTAAAGTATGCATTTAGTGTGAAAACCTTACACTGGGGATTAAGTCCGTCATTAATAAACAGTCTGACTCTGGGCAAATCATGCTTTGTCCTCCTGCATCTGTAAAATGAGGGAGCTTGGCGGGTTGATTGTTAATGACCCTCCAGATACAAAATCCAGTGAGCCTAAGAGGCATGTCTTCTTAGTACTTCTTAACACTTGGTTTCTCTAGGACAGAAATTAAATATTCCTCTTTTTTACTCTTTAAAATTACTTTTATTTTCATGATGGCATAGCAGCCTGAGACTCGATACAACCTGCTTCAAATGAGTGGGGGCATAAGTATTAGCTTAGTAAAATGAATAGTCTTCATTCTTTCACTGATTTGGGACCTGAAGTTATTTTTCATGTATCTTAAGTTTTTTATATACAGAAAAACATACATTTAAAGCTTGTAAATCACAATTATTAGAAATGGTTTACTGTTCTGTCCTAAAGCAGTACCCCTGCTCATAGTTAACATTGAAAACTTCAGTTATTGGGAAAGGAATAATACCAGCCCCTTACCTTTATATAGCTCTTTAAGGTTTTCAGGCATTTCCTATAGATTTTTTTTATTATAACATCAGCCTTGAGTAGTAAAAAAAGGACATGAAGTATGGCCCCTTATTTTACAGAAAAAGAAAATGAGACTCCAAAGAGATTAATCACTTCTTCAATGTCCCTTCTCCAGTGAGATAGGAACTAGCACTACGGCCCGGCCCGATAGCTCAGTTGGTTACAGCATTGTCCCCATGTGCCAAAGTTGCAGGTTCCATACCTGGGGCACATACAAGAATCAAGATTAACCAATGAATGCATAAATAAGTGGAACAACAAATCGATCTCTCCTTCCCATCCTCCCTCTCCCCCTCCCCCTTTCTCCCTTTCTTCTCTTTAAAATCAATAAATAAATTTAAAATAATTTTTTTAAAGAAATAGCACTGGAACTCAGGCCTTCTGACTCCTAATTTAATGCATGTTACAACATTAGTAACTATTTATATTTAATATAATTTTGATATAATAAGTGTCAGTTTGTTTCATGTTTGTTTTCCAGAATCAGGTTCTTTTCTTTCTCAAAGACATATTTGACTTCGAGAAAGTACGCTATTCCAGTATAGAGACTTTGGCCGAAGACCTCATGCAGTTACTTATTCGCCGCACTGAACTTTTAATGGCCTATCTTGGAGCTGACGCGCTGAGGCACACAAGTAGTTGTACAAGTAGTCATGGTCATGTGATGTCCAGTGGCCTAGTGGAAGCCAAAGTGCAATAAGTGTCATGAAAATCAGACAATTTGAGTGTGCTATGAACTGTTTTAAGGTAACTATTGATTCTGTAACATGACACAGAATTGGTGGATATGGACTCAGGGAGGGAAAACAATCTAGTATAGAGTGAGTGACCACACTGTACTTACACAGAAGTTCTGTCATTGAATCCCTGTGTTGTGTATCCAAAGCAGCTTTTTGTAGTCTTTAGGTAATAATTGAAGTTGTGAAATGTTGCATATTTTACAGAAATATTGCTTGAACTGAAGCCAGTACTTGGGAGTTGATTTGTCATCTTGAAGCTATCTGGAGTATCCAGTATCATTCTCAAAAGCTCTGTTTCTATGCTGTGCACCTTGAAATTAAACACTTTAGCTAAGACCTGTGTGGCCGACACATACAAGAATGCATTACTCCAGTGTCGATAAGCTTAACTTTGCCTGAAAATGTATTTTTAATTGTAAAGTTATTCATTTGTTTAATCGAGTTTAGACAATAGTGGTGTTTAATATGTACTGCTTACATTATTGCTTGTGTATTTGCTTATGAATTTGAATCAAATAAATTGTAATGGTTCAGTATTGTTATAAAACATTTAAATGAATTGACACTGAGATGTTTACAGGTTATAAGTTTATATTAGATTTACTATTTCCAAAATATATTACTGTTGGTCCTATAAGTTACAATAGAGACACTAAAGAAATTTCTTTTATCTTTTCATAGATTAGAGCATTTTTCTCTTAAATGAATAATGATTAAAAGATAACATCTACTAACTATGACAGGCAATTAAAATATTTTCTGTGTAGTTTTTAGACTATCTCCCAACATCTGAAGTTACTAATCTTGGTACAGTAAAATGATTTCTCCTTACTCCTTCTATAAAACTGGTTTTTAGTTACTCTCACAGATAACTTAGTACATTTTGTCATATTATGTCCATATTTTTAAAATATTCATACTTTCAATCTTCATGAGGTTTTAAAAAGTGGGTTTTTCCCTGTGAATATAGAACAAAATACTTTCATTGACTTTATTGGGGTGACACTGGTCCGTGAGGTCACCGAGGTTCCAAGTGCAAATTTCCGGGGTCCGTGCTCCACGTGCTGCACTGTGTGCCCACCCCTAGTCAGGCTGTCTTCTGTCACCACATATTCGGCCCCCTTTCACCCTCTCCTAATCCCCCACCCCCTTTGTTCTGGTAACCAGCATGCTGTGTCTGTGTCTGTGAGTGTCAGCTTTATACCCTACGTGTGAGTGAAATCATATGGTTCTCCGCTTTTCCTCAGTCACTTATTTCACTTAGCATAATGTTCTCAAGGTCCCTCCATGTTGTTGCAAATGGCAGTATTTCATCTTTTCTTATGACTGAGTAATATTCCTTAGAATATATGTGCCATATCCTCTTTATCCAGTCTTCCATCAAAGGACACTGAGACAAATTATTTTTAATGGTATAGAAGTATATTTCATGTCCTTTATGATAAATATATGAACAAATGGGTTCATATAAGTAAGGCTCTTTAGAGTATATTTGATACTTTCAAAGTTGTATTAACTTTGTGTCTAAATCATATACCACTTATTAGGGGTGGCTGACACAGTATGTCAATGGATTGGATTTGCTGATTTTGTTTTTAAAGTGGGCTTTATTCATTTTAGGAGTGAGTTACCCAGAAGGATTTAACTATATTTTTAAATGCATTTTTAGATTTAAGTATCTAGTTTCTGATTAATGAATAGAAAATGAAAAGTGGGGGGGCATAATCTTTTAAGGTTTTAAATGTATGCATATGCCACATTTAGGTAACAGTAGTTACAAAATATGAGATTCAACACCTTCATGCTGTTTGCATGTACTGTGTTCCATACTGTTCAGGCTATAGCACTAAATAATAAGACATTGTTCTCATAATTTTTGAGCATATAGCTCTTTGACTTTTCTTATATACATTCTTAATTTAAGAATTGGCTATTTATAATTCTTATTATTGATGGAGGAATATCATTAGAAGTGTCAAATCTAAAAATTCCATTATGTAATGTTCTAGTTTTTAATTTATACCTTGTATTTTTAGCTTCTTGTTGAGGTACCACTGGCCTTGAATTAGTCACACACATACACACACACATTTCCATTATCATGTAGGCAAGACAGTTATTGTTTATATTAATTTTCCTGTTTGGTGGGGGCTAAATATTTTAAACCGTGGTTTTATAAACAAAGCTATAAGTAAACTTGATTACTCTTTTATTTGAGGAAGATACTGTTTGAAATCTATTTTGAAGAATTGCACTATTTAATAATGCTGCTACTACGTAAAATAACTGAAGAATTTATTTCATCAGGTAAGATGAATGGCTTTCCGGAAGGTGTTTTTCTTTTTTCTTTTTTATTTCACCTTTTAAAAAAAGTTGGCCATATTCAAGAGGTTGGTTTGTCTAATTAAGGGCTTGAGTTTGATTAGTTTCTGGTCAGTTCAGTAGTTACTACTTGGGGAAGTGCTTTCTTTGTGGCCTTTAATGAAAGAGTCAAGAGTGACCAAATAGAATTTCAGGGTAGTAAGTATAGGAAAAAAACTTCTGTATTGTAAGAGAAGAAACGACTTTTTTAAAAGAAATAATCTCTTTAAAATATTTTTAAATAAATTGCAATTGCAATTTTCCTTGAAATTGGGTTAAATAGTTAATGTTTTTTAAAATAAAAGAAAATGATTTAAACTAGTTTAAAATCTTTTAGGTTGAAACCCTGTTTAACATTTACTCATGGTAGTATTATCAGAAAATTGCCATTGCCACATGAGTCCTACTATCCAGTTCTGTATGTAAATTTTAAGAGAGCCCTGAATTAGTCCTGAGAAAATGAATTTTTCCCCCTTCTGTTTTCTGGGAGAAAAAAGATGAGTGTTCAGGTGATTTATATTTGGCATTTTTTTCTATTTTGGTTTCTCTAAATTTTTTTTAAAAGATTTTATTTATTTATTTTTAGAGAGGGAAGGGAGGGAGATAGAGAGAGAGAAAGAGAGAGAGAGAGAGAAACATCAATGTGCGGTTGCTGGGGGTTATGGCCTGCAACCCAGGAATGTACCCTGGCTGGGAATCGAACCTGGGACACTTTGGTTCCCAGCCCGCGCTCAATCCACTTAGCTACACCAGCCAGGGCAGTTTCTCTAAATTTTTAACTAAAAGGCTAGTTATTTCTTCTCTAACACTTAAAATATGTTTATTAAATGTCAAAATTAGATTATCTTTTTAAAAAGAAGTCAGGTTTTTCATTCTGTTATAGTCAGCTCCAAAGCACTTTCTCTCCAATATTCTGTATTTGCATCCATTTACTATGATTATATTAGTTTGTTGAATTAATTGACTTTATAAAAATATTTACAAACTTTTTCTTGCCTTAAAGATCTAACATTTTGTACTTAAATGATTAGCTAAGGAATGATTATTTGCATTATAAAAGAATGCTTTATCTCTTTAAACATATGAAATAAGAATGCCAAAGTAACATTTAATATACTTCTCTGTGACCTTTCATAATCAGAAGTTTTAAATTATGTTTGTAACATAATTTGCTTATATTTTAATGTGAACACATTATGGAATTATTTGGAATATACATTTCAAAATATTTTACAAATTAGGCTGAATTCAAAATTTTGGTGATTTGCTTATATTAATCAAATTTAGAAATATCTCTGTATGTGAGACTTAGGAATTTGTATAATCTATGATTAATGGAAATAAGGGCATCCTGTTTTTTGTTCCTAATGATTATATTGTGTTATGTTTTGCTTAGTTTGAGAACAACCATGTATTAGCTTTACTTGGCTGATATCATCAGTAAATGTATCTATTTCCTAAATGTAAGGACTGCACTAACTAGTTTATGTAAAAGTGAAACACTATAGTAGCAAAAAAAAAAAAAAGCAAACAGCACTGGCTCTGTATCCAAAATAAGCACTATAACATGGATGTATTTCTACTACTGCCAAATAAAAAAGTGATGGTGTATCTTGCTGGTGTATTCAGTATGTCATACAATGCTTATGTATAGCAAGGGCATACTTGTACTTGCAGTCTCCATAAGAGACTCACGTACAAACACAGAAAACGCAGACAACTGCAGAAGCATTGAAATCAAGTGTAAATGTTTTCTTTGTGTACTAACTGGGAGAAAAGACAGTTTTCTTGAATAATATCTATAATGAATAAAGTCAAAGTACTTGCATTTTAATAATTTAAAATGTTTTGATTAATAATGCCATCAAACACAATATAAACGTATCCTATTGGTGTACACGCATCCATCCCTATTCAGACATCGCCCTTTCCCATGACTGCTCGGTTAGTATTCAGACACGTTTGGTCAACGAGAGTGATGCTTCCCAGATACCACTGTAGACACCTGATGGTGAGAAGGGTTTACTTCGACATAAAAATAGTACTCTTGATTTGGGGCTTTTAATAAAGAGGTGTATTTTAGGATAATTAAATATATACAGTATAGAAAATGTACATAATTATATTTTTAAGCTATTAAACATATATAATTTAATAACCAAACCATACAAATATGAGCGGAATCTCTTCCTAGCTAGGTTATAGGGTTGGAGATAGACTGAGAAACCAGATCTGAATCTCAGTCTCATCCCTGTTTTCTTTGTTGTCTGCCACACTCTGTTGTCTCATGCCACCCTCTTTGATTCCACCACATGAACTTAATGTTTTGCACTGTAAACATATCTCTCTGCCCCTGGCTGGTATGGCTCAGTGGGTTGAATGCTGGCTTGGCCTGCACACCAAAAGGTCACTGGTTTGATTCCTGATCAGGGCACATGCCTGGGTTGAGGGCCAGGTCCTTGGTTGAGGGTGTGCAAGAGGCAACCAATTGATGTTTCTCTCCTTCTCTCTCTCCCACCCCCCCCAAAAAATAAATAAAATCTTTGTTAAAAAATAAACATGTGTTTCTGTATGTTTAAAATACTTCAATACAATAATCTCAGTGTCCTATTGTTACAATATTTGTAGGACTTTGCAGGAAATCTTTATAAATTCACTTAGTTTATCCACTATCATTTCTTACTGTTCTTATGTCACTTTTGACTCCTATTTTTGACATAGTATTTATTCCTATACCCTGTATTCTGCAATACTTTCCCCTGCCACTTCGCCTTTAATGTCTTGCTCTCCTATGCTACTGACATCTTTGATCAGGCTGCACAGTTCTTTTGCTGAGGTTCTTTTTTTTTTTTCCTCTCTACACCTGCACAGTCAGAACCCTTAGTTATCCTTCATCTTTTGGGCAGGAAAGAACTGATTTCAGTACAGAAAAAAAAGCAAACTTTTCTTCTATGACACTATTTTTTACTTAAAAGTCACAGCAAAGCAACTGATACATCAAGCACCACTCAGTGTTTTGCTTTTAACTGTCTCTTATGTTTGCCGCAAAGCCTTTCACAATGCACATTTATATATAGGAATCAAGAACTTTTAGAATTTGCTATGTTTGAAATAATATTTGAATATAGAGGAGCATGTTGACATTTGAAAGCACTAGAAATACATGAATTCCAGGACTTTGCTAATTTTATTTAATATCACTCTGTGAGAAAAAGGCCCAGGGACTTTAATAGGACTGAGTGCTGAACGTGATAGAAGATGAATAATTTTTAAAAATAGGTTAAAGCAGGTGTATTTGTTATCTATTGCTGCATAACAAATTATCCCAAAATTTACCAGCTTGAAACAACAAATAGACCTCTTCATTAAAATACTTCTTCCACAGTTTCTGAGGGTTAGGAATCCAGGAATGGCTGGTTTTGGTGGTTCTAGTTTAGGGTTTCTCCTGAGATTGCAGTCATCCGAAGGTTTGACTAGGGCTGGAGGATTTACTTCCCAGCTTTACTTACTCACGTGGCTGTTGTCAGGGACCTTTAGGTCTTTGCCAAATGAGCCTCTTAACAGCCACCTGAATATCTTTAAAACATGGTGGCTGCCCTGGCCAGGTGTTTCAGTTGATTGGAGTGCCGTCCGATACACCAAAAGTGTGCTGTGTTTGATCCTTGGTTGGGCACATACGGGAGGCAACTGATTAATGTTTCTCCCTCATGTTGATATTTCTCTCTCACAAATCAATAAACATATCCTGGGGTGAGGATAAATAAATAATAAATAAAATATGGCAACTGGCTTTCCCCATAGTGAATAACCCAAGAGAGATCAAGTCAAAAGACACAGTATCTTTTATAACCTAGCCTTGGCTGTGACATACCATCTCTTGTGCCCGATTCTATAAGTCACACAGACCAACCCTGACACATTGTGAGAGGAGATTACACAAGGGTGTGAATACTAGGAGGCAAAATCCTTTGGGGTCATCTTGGTGGCTGGATACCACAGCAGGGAATCAATGAATTATACATAGGTAATGTAGACATTTTAATTTTAAATGAATAAATGTACATTCTTTGGCTGATCTTTTGATGTAAGGTCAAGGTCTTTACTTGGAATATGGATCCATCTGATATTCTGAAACATTTTTGTTGCATAAGTTACATCTGTAAATCATCATCTATGATTTACAATTTCCCTTTTAAAGGAGAAAAAAATTTACTTGAAAGAAACAAATGCCAATTCCCCTTGATTTTTATAATTTTGTACCCAGTCTTTTAAATTTGTCTTCCCCACACCTAGTTTGATGGCAAGTTTTGTAAACTATTTGCCTTTATCACCCATCTTCAGAGCCTTCAACTTAGCTTTTAGAAAAAACTCTCTTAGCTTTTATATTTTTTGTAACATTTGATGTAATTTCAATAAGATGCACCTTATATAATCAAGTTTGAGAACAAAACCAACTCATTTCATGATAACTATGTAAGGAATGTTTATATAAATTGGCAGATCTTGAATTTCTAATAGTGGTCTGAAACTCAGTGTGTTTAAAACTGAGCTCCTGACCACACCCACCTCAGCCTCCTCTTTCCGATCTTCCTCAGCCCAGTAAACGACAACTTCATCCTTCCAGATCCTCAGGCCAAAAACTTCTTTTCTGCACATCTCATATTCACTGGTACCAACTTCCTACTAGTTCTACTTTTGAAAAGATGTACCGAGAAAAAAAAAGTGCCTAGCATTTCTTAATGATCTTCACAGCTATCACCTTAATCCAATCCCTCATTACCTGTCATTTTGATTATTTTGAAAGCCTCTTAATTGGCTTCATTTAGTGTACTTGTAACACATCAGCGAGAGTGAGCATGATAAAAATGTCAGATCATGCCACTACCATGTTCAAAATCCACCAATGGCCACCCATCTTACTCTAGAGAAAAAAGGTACAAAAAGGATCTTCCACAGGCCCTTCCCGCCCTGCTCCACTTCCCATTAGATCACCCTCTGCCTACTCAGCTCCACACACACAAGCCACCTTGCTCTTCCTAGAACAAATCAGATGATCTCCTCCTTGGAGCCTTCGTACCTCTCTCTGGACTGCGCTTCCCCCAGATGTCTTGTGATATTTACATAGCTCACTGCCCCACTGTCCTTAAGACTTTTATTCATATGAGACTTCCCTTGCCGCTCCACCTGAAAGCACAAAATCTATCCCCCGCCCCCCCGTTCCCAGCATTCCCTGTTTTGGTCTTATCCATATCCCATATCACTAAGTACTGCATAATTTGTTTATTGGCTTATTATTCCACCAAAATGTATGTTCCATGATGGCAGGGCTCTTTATTTGTTTTGTCAGTACTGTGTCCTCGGTACCTAGAATTGAATATTTGGTGAATGAATGATGAATTGATAGGAGAAGAAGCAGGCATTGCATGCTGTGGGTAGCTGCCAGTTTTACAGTTAGAGTGCAGAGCTTTGTTTAATTTGGTGAATCTGGTGAGAGGAAATCAGTTAAGAGGGCTTCTAATCATTTAAATCATAAAAATAAATGTATAATTATAAATTGATAAGTTTTATAATCGGAGAAAGGACGGAATGACTTTAACAGAGCACACATATAGACTGGGGTGAAAAGCCCCT